GGTAGTCAATTCGGGGCCAGACTGCCTCGGGGCGAGGGACTAGGCCGAGCGAACGCCTCCATTCCTCGCTTGTACCTCCTCTAATACTCCAGGCTGAATGATCAGAATGAGGAATGGAGTGGAAGGGGTCCCTCGCGGGGAATTCGCGGGTGGGAGCTCGCGGCGGGGCGGGCGGCGGCGAATTGGGGAACTTCGGAGATGCTCTTTGGGGGTCATCTGGTGATCGTAAATGCGTCACCGTGTATTACTGGGTGTGTTACTTCAACCGCGGGAGGAATTTGATGACGGCAGATGCGTTTACCAGGAAAAATTGTCTTTATCGCGTTCGGAATATTTTATAATAAGCGCCGAGGAGTTATTTCCTGTTGGAACTCGAGGTCGGTGAGAATTAAAAATGTGCGGGACGGTATTTATATAATTTCGTACAATTTAAGTCATCATTGAGTGGAAAAGTGGAAAAAGTCCAAGAGAAGAACCACTGCAATGCTAGACACTTTTTCTGGCACTTTGGATTTAAGACGTCAATTATCGGGGGATCGAAGGAAAATGTCTTTTTATTTACATATCAAAGGAAATAGATGGAAATGGCGCGGTTGAATTTTCAGCGTTCGTTTAAACCAGGGTCAATAAACTAGGAAGTTCCGAAAACTCCCGTGCAGAAAATGTGCTTTCTCTTTCGGCGCGACCTGCAAAATCGTCGTTGGTTTACCCGAGATTCGTAAATCAGACGAATCAGACATTTCGACGACTTTTTTTTTCGAAAATTTTTTTTTTTTATCCAGGGAAATCCCCAGTTCCAAAAAAAAGCAGGATGAACTGTGTAAATCTCGGCAAAAGGGGAAAGCCGTGAAGAAAGGCGAGGAAGCAAATTTGCCAGCAGAAGTGAACATCGGTCGGTTCGCTGAGGAAGGCAATTTCGGACGTCCCAAACCCTCGAAAGTCCTCAAAAGTCCTCAAGCCTGAAGTTTAGTCGTTCCCTGGCGCAGAAGGAGCCAGCAGAGGAACTCGCTCCCGGGGGGGGAATGGATGGGGGATGGAACGCTTCGACGGTTGGGGGAGGGAGGAGGGGAGGGGGGAGGGAGGGGAGCTACCATTTGATGCACAAGATGGAGTTTCCTTTTGCATTCTTTGCGTCTTCGACCGAATTTGCATACTTGCGTGAGCGGAAAGAGGACGAGGAGGTCTTTCCGGAAAGACCTGCTTTTTTTTATGCAAGAACGCTTTCCCTTTCTTGGTGGCGGTTATTTCTGTTGCTCAGGTGGAAGGCAAGGATTTCGATGAGCCATCTGATGCCTAAGAGGGCTCATCGAAAAGCGCCCTCAAAGAAGCCTTGAAGAAAATGAATCCTCTGGAGGATTCATTTCAAAGAGAGCAGAAAACATTCATCCGAATGAAAACTAATCCACCTTCCCCCCTCCTTCTCCCCTCCCTCCCCCATCCCTCCCACCCTCCCCCCCCCCCACACCCTGGGGCACGAGGACTGTCTGAATGAGCCTTTTCTTCCGCTGGAAGGGAAACCTACCTAATTGGTTTTCTTCTTGTCTTCCCTGTCGATGCCCGGCAAGCGGGCTGAGGTGGAGCAAATATCAGTAACGCAATTAAGATTATATATCTGCCCCTCCCTTCCCTCCCCCTCCTCCCCTGCCCTCTTCGTCAGTTCCTTCATCGCGCCTTGACCTAATTTCTTTGTGATGAGTCGCGATCCTATCAAGTCTCGGAGCGGCCTCATCGCGGACAGAACAGTGGGAATTCCGAACGAGGCAGTCCACACAGTACTGGTACTTGAAGGATCCAACTGACGGTATTCAACTTGCACGAAGGAGGATTTTCGTCGCAAGATGTCAGAAACAGCCATGGAGTCTGACGACTACCTCTGAGCAGAATGCCGTTTGATTGACAGGGTAATGGGTTGCTTCGAGGGGGGGAGGGGGGGGGGGAGAAAATCGATCGCGGAAAAACGAAGAATATTTGAATTTTATGCTAATCGGGGCCGTGAAAACGAGTGCATAAATGGAAAAGCACGAGGGAGTGGACCAGCTGGAATCGAACTTGCGACGGCTAGAAGACCGAAGTGGCGACGAAGGCTGGAAATCTGACGGCTGCGACATGAGTCCGACGGGAACGAGAGAAAAGGTGGGAAAGGACTTCATCAGAAAGGGCGGAGAAAGGGAATGAAGGAGGAAGGAGGAAGGAGGAAGGAGGGAGGAGGAAGGATGGAAGGAGGAAGGAGGAAGGAGGAAGGGGGCTCCCTTGGAAAATAACGAAATGCTTTCGTCGATGACACAAGGAATGCGAAATGCGTTGAGGGAAGAAAATGCAATTTAGAAAAGACGGACTTCCTGCCTTCGATTAAGGGAGAAAGACCGGAATTGGACGCAGTAACGCCTGGGTACACCAACGACGCAGGAAAAACTTTTTTTTTTAGCAACTCGTTTGGGTTCCGTTCTGGTTTTGCTTCCTTTCGGTTTTACGTCAGCATTTTCGATTCCATCATGATTCCCATGTTATTGTTGCAAAAAATATGGACTTTTACTTACATCCCTTTCCATTCTTCGGCCGGACTGCCGAGTGCCTAACGAATCGGGAGTCACTCTCTGCGGCTGATGGCGCGGCTGATGGATCGCGACGGGGCAAATAGGAACAGCTTTCATTAGTCCCCGCCGCATCCTATTGTGCGGCTGATAGGATGGAGCGGGGACGATCATCGGGCGATCGGGGTCAAGGGCTGCGAAGGTTGTGGTGAGTGATCCTGCACTCCCTGAATGAGAATTAGCGAAGAGAATTAACATTTGAAACTTCGCTCTTTAGCACTTGATGAAGTACCGATGAAGTACTGATGAAGTACCGAAGAAGTACCGATGAAGTACCGAATGTAGGAATCTCCTTTTGAGAGCAGTTACCTCCCGGAAGGTACTCTCGACTCAAACTTGCACAAAGGAATGGCAAAACTCCAGAAACCTGCAATCTTGAAAAAAAATCATCAGTCTCTCCCAAAATCAACTTTTACGATGCACAGGAAGTGCTCGCAGAAGGAAAGAAAACACATTCGATAACGCTGGAAATTTACGGAGGCATCCCTTACGGAAATGCCCTATAGGAAACATATAGACTTTCCTGTAGGTTTTTGCAACACGAAAAACCTATAGGATCCTCCAAGATCCCTAGAGGGTCGTATGGGACCCCTGACCTATAGGATTCGGGGAGGATTTTTTGGGTTTTGAAAACCAGGCATTACGACGGGAATGGCGACCGTGGTCAATATTGGCGCAACATTTTGGTGTAAATCAATTACCGATTAGGGGGGTTTTCCCATGGTAGGGGCACTTGCATATTACATGCATGGATCTGCATAATTTATTCCCCAGACACACATATGTCGCCGGAACGTGCAGGAGGACTTCCTTCGGTTGAGAGATGAATCATTCTTCGACCCAAAGAAACGGCAGACAATACCTGCGAACTCCATCACTTTAATGAAACGCCTTTCGAAAAAATTCTACTTTATCAAATTTAATATACTTTTTCTCGTACGTGGTTTTCAAAGGGAATGTGGGCATATTTCTGGCCTGGACTCCATGTTTCTATCTGGAAGATGGAGATAAAAAATAAATAAATGTCGAAGTTAATTGATTGCTACAATGAGGCAAGGCGAGACATTAGGGGACATACAAAACTCTCTTGTGAGAGATGATTCCATGGGTAAGGGGAGGGCACTTTTGTGCCCTTTGAGAAATATGACAACCCAATACTTCCATCTAGTGGCCTAGAGGAGAACTTGAAACGGAACCCTTTAGGCCTATAGGGTTCCGCATAAGCCCTATAGGGAACCCTATAGGTCCTTTAGGTCTTATAGGGAACCCTATAGGTCCTATAGGGTATCCTATAGGTCCTATAGAGAATCCTCTGAGTCCTAAGGAAATTCCTATGAGTCCTATGGAGAATCCTATAGGTCCTATAGGGAACCTATAGGCTTTATGGGGAACCCTATTGGTTCTATGATGAACCCTATAGGTTCCATAGGGTGATCTATCCCTTCTATTGGGAACTCAATAGGTTCAATAGGGGACTCTATAGGTTCTATAGGGGACTCTATAGGTCCCAAACTGAACTCTATTGGGCATATAGGATCCTATAGGATTCCTATAGGATTCCTATTTATTCATTTAGGAATATATAGGAATCCTATAAGACATTTTCGTCAGGGACAGTTTAGTCCCCAATATCAAAACTTCGACTTCATTCACTTACTCAAAAAATTAAATGCTATGTCCATACCCCTTTGGCTTTAATCGCAGCCTGAAATCGTTTAGCCATGCTATCCTCTAATCTTCGTCATGTTTCTAGGTCGAATTTGTTCCACTCTGTTTGGACCCGCTCCCACACCTCCAGCATACATTTCGGAGGTTCCCCGTACTGTTTAAGGCCCCGAGATGTGTGCCCAGAGATGCTCGATATGGTTTAGGTCTGGAGACTGAGCTGGCCACTCCAAGACCTCGAACTGCTGTTGATTCAACCACTGTTGGACGCTCTTCGTTTTATGTTTTGGATCGTTGTCATGCTGGAAAATAATTCTGCTGACGCCCAGATCATACCAGTCGATCGTTTGCAACAATTCGTCCTCCAGGATGGATCTGTAGAGCTGCTGATCCATGGTGCCATTGATCTTGCTCATATAGCCGGTTCACTTGATCGGCATGCAGTGTCAGATCGAGCCACCTCCGTGCTTGACATTCTGATTGACGTTTTAAGCCTTATGACGTTCCCCCTCACGCTTCCAACACAAGGCGCGTCCATTTGAGCCTAAACGGTTGATCTTGGTCTCATCCAACCAAATGACTCACTTCCAATCATCAAACGTTCAATCTATGTGGCTTCTGGGGAACTCCTGGCGGACATTCCCTTACGGAAATGTCCTATAGGAAACCTATAGTTATTTCTTATAGGAAAGCTATAGTTATTTCTTAAAGGAAACCTATAGACTTTCCAATCGGTTTTTGAAACACCTATAGGGTTTTATAAGTCTCCTGACCTATAGGATTCAGGAAGGATATTTTGGGTTTCGAAACCCAGGCATTGCGACGGAAAAGGCGACCGAGGTTAATATTGGCGAAGCATTTCGGTGTAAATTAAAAACCGATTAGGGGTAGGGACACATGCATTTATTTAGACCAGTACTGCGGGGTCTACATAATTTATGACCCCGCCCCACATGCGTCGCTGGATTGCACGTCTACTTCCTTCGGTAGGAGAAGTAGCATTCTTCTCTCGACTTAAGGAAATAGGAGACAGAACCTACGAGCACGTCTCTTTACTGGATAGAGTCTACTTAGTTTCGTACGTGGTTTTCAAAAGGAATCAGGGCATATTTCTTCACGGGACTCCATGATTATATCTGGAAAATGGGGATGACAAATAAGGAACTGTCGAAGTTTATTGATTGCTACAATGAGGCAAGGCGNTCCATGATTATATCTGGAAAATGGGGATGACAAATAAGGAACTGTCGAAGTTTATTGATTGCTACAATGAGGCAAGGCGAGACATTTGGGGATCTACAAAACTCTCTTGTGAGAGATGATTCCTTGGGGAAGGGGAGGGCAGATTTGTGCTTTTTGAGAAATGTGAGAACCCTATACTTCCATCTAGTGTCCTAGAGGAGAACTTCAAACGGAACCCTATAGGTCTATAGGGTTTCTTATAAGCCCTATAGGGAACCCTATTGGTCCTATAGAGAGTCATACAAGTCCTATAGGGTAGTCTATTGGTTTTATAGGAAACCCTACAGGTCCTATACAGAACCCTTTGGATCCTATAGTGAACCCATAGGCCTTATGGGGAACCCTATAGGTTCTATAGGGTGATCTATCGGTTCTATAGGGAACTCTATAGGTTCAATAGGGAACTCTACCTAGTCCTGCCATAAATACTGTTACAAAGTTTTTTCGTAATAACTCTTTTCATATAAAACATACTCTGTATTTACTAACAGCATTTATTTCCCTACATACTTACTAACATATTATAGAAACATTATTCGAAATGTCCACCCCTGGCCTTCACACATGAATTTCAACGATCAGACCGCTCATCCATCGCAGTACACACCACTTCCATTGGATATTGGCTGCTGATTTTGCAAGGGCTCGCTTGAGACTTTCAATATTTGGATGTTTTCTGTGGTTGGCCATCAGCTCCAACTCTAATCACAGTTTGTTGTCCAGTGGGTTCCCAGATGGCCAATCGGAGGCCTTGATGAACACGGGGACATTGCTCGCTAGCCACTCCTGCGCTGTCCTAACCTTGTTAGCAGGGTCGGAGTCTTGCTGGAAGATCCAGTTGCCCCCATTGAGCATTGTTTAACTGAGAGGCTTCACTGACTTCTCTAAGACTTCTTCCTGGTACACTTTGGCTGATGTCTTCACTTCCTGCTTGCAAAAATGCAGCTTGGTGACACCCTCATAACTCACCCCCACCAAACTGTGACAGAAGCAGTATGGTGACCTCTTTCCACCTCATGGATGACTTCTGCAGCTTCCCAAGAGTTGTGGGCATACACTTGACCAGTTGAATTTTTCTTCAACAATGAAGATTTTCTCTTCAGTAAAGAGGACTTTGTGATGTCTGTTTTGCGCGTACCTCTGCAGAAACACTTTCGATCGCGACCTCCTGATTTTGTTTCAGAGATGGAGTCAGCATGTGTCCTGTGCTTCTTCGGTTAGCACCCATCCTTAGGTCTGATTTAATCAACTGATACGTGCTTCTAGTCGAGGTGGTCATTTCCCTGGCCATCACTTTCTGCTTGCGAGGAGGATTTCGCTGAATCCTGTTGCTAACTGCTTTGATGACTCGTGGTGTTCTTGCAGTGGGTGGACGTCCAGATCTAGGGCGGTCTTGCACTCCCTGAGTATTATTGTAACGTTTGATAGCTCGGTAGACAAACTGCCGACTGATTCCAAGTGGCTACAACGTCTTGAAATGATTGCAGGTTTCTGACCCACTTTGTGCAGGACAATCACTGCTATTCGATTCTCTTTGTCACCCCACTCCATGTTTACTGCACGCAACACAACAGCCAAAATGTTACCAAACTATACGGCAGATAATACACTGCACGATTGCTAGGTTACAAGTTTCTAGCTTCTTTCGCTAGAATGCAGGGAACATGTAGATCTTGTAACAGTATTTATGGCAGAACTAGGTATAGGTCCCAAACTGAACTCTATGGGGCATATAGGATTCTTATATATTCCTATAGGAATATATAGGAAACCTGTAAGACATTTTCGTAAGGGTTGATATTTGTTGGCGAGAGTTTCTGTTTTCTTTCTTCTCTCTTGCACTTAAAAAAGGTTTATGGAGGGCTTATCGAATGGTCTTCACGCATACAAAGACTCCCACGTCCTCCGTGAGCTTGATGGTGACCTGTGTGGCTGTTTCCATTTTCCAAGAGGTGATAGCACGGACGCAGAACTGCTTATCTGAGATGACAACTTCTGGGGACTGACATTCTAACCTCTGCGATCAGATAATTGCTATTTCTGGATCTTTTGGACGGAGGATCTGCCGCTGTTGCATCACTTGCCAATCTCCCTGAGGCTTTTCCATGAGGTTTACCTCATGAAAAAACGGGAAGACGTTTCGCAGGGTGCTGTCGGAAAATGGACGCATGATAACTGAATTCAAGAATGTCACTGAAGAAGAATGAAGAGAGCACTAGAGGAGGATGGCTTCTAAGCTATAGGCCATGAGCTCATCACAGCACGTAACGAACACAAGATATTCGCCCAATGTTAGTGCATACAAACTCGCGATTCATGAATAATTCGTCGTGTTCCACTACATGTGCGCGAGGTGGGACCAGGGCACCAGGGACACAACCGTCCAAGTGCAGTAATTTGCTTTCAGGTGTATTTCTCCATAACCGCTGCATGCATTCTGATGAAACTTTCGACACTTATAGAAGAGGAGTTTGGCTACAAAGGATATGTCGCACAGAGTAATTCAATTATCATATACCGATATAATTCGTCCCAAAGCGGATGGCGCTGAACATGCAGACAGTTTTGTCCTTCAATGTGTATCCGAGATGTCTGGTGACCGGCAACTTCTTGAAAGAGAGGGAAAAGTGAAATTATTTTGAAAATGTGATAGAACACTTCATTCAAATTGGTGAAACGAAGGAATATAATAGGAACATTTAAGTTCTGTGCGTGGCATGGCCTAGGAGAGGACGGAAATACTGCAAATTTTAAACGTTTAAGTGATCTCATCGGGGGACCGCTCTAGCTATCACATTATGGTGCTATACCAGGGAATTGTCATTGTAACCATTGTTACGCTGAGTTCTGCTATCTGCATTACATTTGTAATGTGAAGGATGTACCACTTAAATGAAAGCTAAAAATGCATTCATTCTTCTTCTTAATGAATATATTCATTCAAATTTCCATTTGTAACTTTTTAGCAAACGAAGGACAATGAACTGGAGAGACTGCGGCAGGAATTTTACCACATGTTAGCAAAGGAAAAAGAAAGGGCAGAGCAGAGGGAAAGGCAGGAGGAGACAATAAAGAACCTGGAAAAGCAGCTCCAAGAGGAGAAAAGAAAGGGCCAGGAGACGACGTCTGTGGAGCATGAGAATGCCCTGCTGAAAGGGGAGCTCCAGGTATGAGTTTCTCGGGGCTTTTATGCATATATAGGGTGGTTTTGAAAGAAACGCTTTACCGTTTTATGTGTTACCCAGAGAAGGAGGGTGATTACAAGAAACGCTCCACCGTTTTCGAAGGGGAGAGATTGTCATTTGCACATTTGAGGAAAAAATACGAGATTTAAAAAATGTTCGTATTGAACGTATAGGTGATGCAGAGAATATTAAGTTTTTCTCAGAACAATTCTTCAAACTGTGCCTAGGGCATATGAGCATGAATGATTCGTTCTCCCCTTTTGAGAATAGGGGAGCTTTTTTGTAATCACCCTCGGTGACCGAGTCAACAACAGCGCCCTCTCTTGGGATACCGCGCCATCTTGCGGAAGTAAAAAAAAAACACTTAGACTCGTGAACTTTTCTATCAAGTTTCAATTGGATTCAATTGTCCTTTGAAAAGTTAAAGTTGAAAAATTCACTGAATTTTGACTCTTTCACTGAATTCGTCACTTCAGATATGATCCACCTCTGAGCACCTTTAATTCACCTCTAAAAGGGCATTTCTTCTCTAAGGGCCGCCAGTGTAGTGGGCCAAGGTTGCCCAGGCAGCAGTTCGCTGTACTAATAAATGTCTGGAAGCTAGTGGCCACCACTTTGAGCACCTCTTGTAATTGTAGAGGCCAAAAGTAACTTGTATTAATCGCATGATGTCGGAATAAATTTAGTATTAAAATATTTATATGAATCTTTCTTTTCCTGAAGTGTGTATACATTTTTTGGCGGACTCTGTATATTCTTAAAACCCATCTATTCCATACAAGCACTCACGAGTTCTGTCGTACACGGTTCTGTGTAGTGGATTCAATGTTATTTTTTTAGGGAAATATTTAAAGGAAATCATGACGATTTTGTCATCGATGACGATGACATCGTACCACAAAGACGGTTGCTTATGGACATTAATACATATTAGGTGTTAACCGAAATAAATCCAAAAGTTAATAATATAATTCAGAGATCCAAGAAACTTGCGACATCAGAACCAGGACATTAAGTGCAAAATGTCAATCACAGTCATATTCACCAACATATGTTCAATACATAAGCGTGCACGATGAAGCATGTTGCTGGACACAGTCTGTAACATCACCAGCGGAATGTTGACAATGGTATTGATAATGTTGTTTTGCAACTCCTCTATAGTGTGGGAAATGTTCACATATGCCTAGTCTTAAATATATCTCCACAATATGTCATTCGGTGATGACAAATCAAATTAACGTGGAGTTCATAATCCCTTAGAAAGCAAGAGATCGTCGAAAATGAGTTCCAACTCTGTCATTGTCTGACGAGACGTGTCGTTAGTTTCTCCGTATTTTTGTCCTTGATATATTATTTGTTTGAAACATCAATTCGTATGTGTTCAGCGGGCCAAGGAAAATCAGCAACTTGAGAGGCTGCGAGAGGAAATTTCCCAAATGCTTATCAAGGACAAAGAGAAGGAACAGCAGAGGGCAAAGCAGGATGAGAGGATGAAGAAACTCGAGAAAGAGCTCCAGAAGGAGATGAAAATGGATGAGATGATGACGTCTGTTGAGCGTGAGAATTCTCTAAAAGAGCAGCCCAAGGGATTCACAGTTCAGTTCTCTCCCACTTTTCCTTGTTTGCCTTTCATTATCATTCTCTTTTGATGGTGACTCACGAGTCGATTCAGAATCTCAGATTCTAGAGATGTCGCTGTGCAGGATAGGAAATGGATATAGGGAATGATTGCTTTGTCGAAGGATGTCGTAAGATTTTCATGTTCATCTCTCTTTCCTCTGCAGGTATCAGTTCACATGTTATCTTTAATGTTGCAAACTGCATTATGAAAGCCAAAATGAGTGTATTGTGGTAGACTTCGTTGCTATACATGACGTGATACTGTTTGGAAAGTGTTCGTGAGAGGACTACTGGAATGATTGAAGTAATTGAAGTAAAGCAGTAGGGTTATCATCGTATAACGTTTTCCTACTCGCACGCATGCTTTCGCAATAAAATGGACGAGGTTAGCTAGGAAAAAAGTATAGAAATACACTGTAATATAGAAAATCTGATGGAAAAATATAGCATTTGTCCCAGGAAGCTAACCTCCTTGGGTTTTGTTTCAAGAAATCGGTTCATTTCCATAATAAAAGCTGAAATAAATCCAAATAAATTATCTTTATTTGTATCAACTATTACCCATATTTTGCCGTACGAAAATATTGCAAAAATTTTTCAACGCCAATTATTTTCGGAAGTACAAACACGCGGTTCATCCTTTCGAAATCATGCCTCTCATGAAAAATTTTGTTTAGAATCTGCACTTTTCGCAAAAAGATTCAGCAAAAAATATGTGAAAGTATTTTTTCATGTGTTTCAACTGCAACTAGCACTTATCTCTCTAAGTGGTTTTCCTAATTTAAACTTTCAATTAGGAAACGTTATGTAACCTGCATTAGGTAAAATTCGACCAGTATAAATATGAGGGTTAACACAAAGAAAAAGGCTCCCGATTTTTTACTGAGTAGTGTTTAATTGCAATTGAAATTGGCAGTTCGCCAACATTGACTCCATTGTTTCCCACCGCTGCTTGCGAAGTTTCGTGGTTTCACCCCCAGGAGGATATAAGTGCACACATAGTTCAAAATGGCCGATATGTCAGTCACGTTTTAAGCAGAGAGCTGTGATCGCATATTTGACTGCGGAAGGGGAAGTGCCGATAATGATCCACAGACGCCTCATAAATGTGTATGGAGAAGATACTGTCAATGTGCATACAGTGAGAAGGTGGGTTATGAAATTCGAAAGTAGTGATAAGTCTCTGGCTGACAGGCCACGAAGCGGGCGGCCAGCAACGGCAGTGACTGATTCCAACCAGCAGAGGGTTGATGAATTAATACGGGGTAGTCGGGGGATCACGCAAGTGGAATTGAGCCATATTGTCGGCATTGGTCACCATACTGTCGAATCCATCATCGATAACCTTGGATTCAGCAAGGTTTGTACTATCGCAGTACCGCGGTACCGCGGCACCGCGCATGCTGACAGACGTGCACAAGGCAGAGAGGAAAAGAATCTCCTCGGAACTTCTTCAGCGGCATGAACAGCTGGGAGACAACTTTTTGTCACGAATAATAACCGGTGACGAATCCTGGGCTCACTATTACGAACCTGAGGCAAAACGGCAGTCTATGGAGTGGAGACATGACACATCCCCAAGCCTGAAAAAATGCAAGACCCAGGCATCGGCGGACAAAGTCATGGTCAATGTTTTTTGGGACATTCGTGGAGTGGTGTTGGCCGACTTTCTGGCTAAAGGGTCAACGATCAACTAGGAAAAATACATCAGCACTCTGATTAAGCAGAAAGCCTGTATACGCCAAGCAAGACCACATGTGAACATGCAGGTGTTACTGCAACAAGACAATGCCAGGCCTCACACATGTCGTCTAACATCGAAAGCCATTGCAAAGATGGGATGGGGTGTCCTTCCTCAACCAGCATACAGTCCAGACCTCGCCCCTTTGACTTTCATTTATTCGGCCCTCAGAAGGATGCTCTACGGGGGCACCATTTTCTATCAGATGATGAGTGAAGACGGCCTTTCGTCGCTGGCTGCATCAACAAGATGAAGCTTTCTTTCGCGACGGTATAATAGTACTGCTTTCACGCTGGCGCAAATGTGTGGAACGTAATGAGGACTATGTGGAAAAATAAGTTCAAATAAATTCTCAAACATGTTTTTCCTATTACTGTCTACTTGCGTTCAATTGTGATAAATTGTGTTAGAAAGAAAATCGGGAGCATTACCTTTGGGGTGACCCTCGTATGTAACTTTTTCTGGAATGCATGCAATCATAATGGTGAGAGACCCCCCTCCCACTAATCCTATTGGGCGACCTGTCATCCCAATAAAGGAAGAGCCTCTGAAAAATGGTTTCACATTACTTCATTGCTATTATATTTGCCATTGGGTGGCAGCTAAGAATGAAAAGAGGAATCCTGTCGACATATCCATGCTAGATTTCTACCAAGTTTGCGATACCTGTCCTCACAGATGGAGACGTATCAGTAGTAGTTCGGTTCGAGAACAGGTTCTTCAAGGTTTAATCTTGGGACCACTTCTACAGTGTGGGCCACTTAAAAGTAGCCCGAGTGGCGGAGGTGGTCGCCCCTTGCACATCCACTTGCTCGTTCTTACTGTCGCAGTATTATAGGAGGCGGGCTACTTTTAAGTGGCCCACCCTGTACTATCACATTGCGATTGAAGTTCAGACCTCTTGATTAAACTCCAAAATTATGCCAATGCCACAATTACGCAAAGAACTTTAATCACATTGGTTCTGAAATTCTTGTGGAGTCTACAGGGTGGCCCAGAAGTAATAGCCCAGTGAGTGGTACGATTAGCAGTCGCTACAAAACTTTCTCGTTTTATTGACCGGTCAAACTGCTCTAGATGAAAATCAATTAATCAAAATAATAATAATAAATTATAAAATTATAAAAATTGTAGTGCCTGCTGATTGTACCACTAACAGAACTATTACTTCTGGACCGCCCTGTATATCAAAATTTGAAAAAGAACCAAAGAAATTCGGTATATTCCGAACTGCACATTCTTCTCGTTAGTGCTCGAATGGAAAGAATGGAAGGCACGATCACGGGGACCATACAGCGCATGAATTCAGCGAGACACCTCTAGAAGTGGCAAAAGATTGTAAAGAAACAATCTCTAAAACAGGTCTGAGAAGAGGATCTTCTTACAACTTGGATGTGCCTTCCTCAGTCATATTTCACTGGCATTGTGTTCTTTTACACATCCCTAAAGGAGAATGTGAAACCAGTTTAAAGAAGAAATTGGAAACCCTGTCCCTGGAGGAAAAAGAAGGCAAAGAAAGATTGCGCAATCCAAACTTCAATGTAAGCTGAGTCCTTCAAATTTTAAAATCTTCTGGGGTATTTTTTGGACATGTTCAAAAACGTTGAAAAATCTCCTCAGTAGCTGAGACAAGAACCAACGGAGGAATCCGGTAGCATCCAATCAATGCGGAGGAAACCGGTAGCGAAACCTCCCCCAAATCCTCGTCCCCCAAAGCTAACTTTTCCATCAGGAACTACCATGGTGAAATTCCCTTTCAGTGCCTTTTCCATTAAGATTTTTATGTTCATTTTTTTGGTCAACGTATTGAATACACCCGAAATTCTCAAACTTTGATGCATCGATTGTGCAGTCATGTCTATTCGCAACATTTGCGCTGAATTCTTATTTTCCTATTCAGGAAACTTTTGTGATTACGCCTGCATCTACTCATTCTTGCAGAGACACGATAGACATTGCCGATCAGAGCAGTATCGTGTCCACCGTCTAGCGTACATCTCTAAGGAAGGTCCTCGAGAAGTGGATTTCACAGATATTGAACAGCGATCTAGCGGTGCTCGTCAGTTACCATTTATACTTTTTATGTCATAAACGTTAGAAGTAGTATTGTATTGAATACTTTCCCTTTATAAGAGAAAGGATTCGTCTCCGGCGTGTTATCTACGTTTGAGACGAAGCAGAGTGAAGGGGAAACAAAAAATGCCTTGGGAACAGAGCAGATAAAACAAGAAACTCTATACGGGAAAGAAGACGAGGTGGCTCAATATGAAGGAAAGAAGAAGTTGAAGTTACGATATACATCAAAGGCAATAATGGAGAATTGGGAAAGGAACCAGGGAAAGAGGCCCCCCATTCCGAAGAAAAGAAAGGGGCAGCTGCATCCAGGTAAGATTATACCACAGTTCATCAAAATGTCTCTAATCCTAATCATTTAAAGAATCAAATTAGCTTATCCCTTTAGTCGTTGCAATGAAGAATTAAATATGATGTGCTTGATCTCATGTTGGAAGTGAGGCATGAGTGCATATGTAAAATGTAAGTGTGGAAATTCGAAAACCAACTGGGAATTCTGTAACAATTTTCTAACATGCTTCGTCATATCCACGTTTTCATTGCGCTATAGCACTAGGGTTTTCAAAGCCATGCTATTTAGAAAATAATGTAGCCCTGAGAAGAGTGAAGTGATTATCGTTTGATGAAGGAAAGGTCAGGGAATCACGAAGAGATTTCTCGAGCCTGCGCTAGTGGAAAGAGCTCATGAACATAGAGAGCTCATGGCTCCCTTCATTGTTGGAGAAATGCCTTCCTTTCATGAAAGAAAGGTGATTCCATGGTTAAAGAGAGTAAATTCATTGTGCAACACCTTGGGGAATGAACAAACCTTTTCCTTTCCTTTGTTGGAATGGGGTAGCCATTTGTGGAAGCGTCGCGGAAAAGCGGAGCGAAAAGGGTTAAGGCAGCTATATACCACCCACATACCATAGTTACATGAAGTGAGGGAAAAAAACGGTGTCAATGTTTGACACAGTTCCAGTTGATGAGTCATAACTCGAGTATAACGAGTTCAATTTAACTTAAGTTTCAGTCAATTTACTTCCTGGCTTTCGATTGGTGCTAGTCGCTTGTCAACTGGCCTCCTATTGGCTGAGCTGCAGCTGTTCAAAGTCAACCATGTCATTGACATAGTATTGTCCCTCATACTCGGACATACAGAAAATTCGAATGTATCAATACTCTGTGTATTCGCCTTCGGCCTTCAGCACTACCAGTGCCCTTCTAGACATGCTCTCGATCAAGTCCAAGCATATCTGGACGGGAATGGCATCCCACTCGGTTGTGACCCGCCGCCACAACTCGTGGATGCGGATCGGCTCATTTTCGTACACAGCTAGTCTTCAAGTCTTGCCCGCAGATGTTCCATTGGGTTGAGCTCTGGTGACTGCTGGCCATTCTAGGACCTCGATTCTGTGGTCCTGGAAGCATTGGTGAGCTATCAGCGAGGTGTGTTTCGGATCATTGTCTTGTTGAAACGCCACCTTCCTCGCTTCCAGCCGGTCGAGCTCAACTGTCTTGAGCAATTCGTCCTCGATGATGCTTGTATAATCCTTCACATATATCGTTCTTTGTATTTGACATCCATATCCGACACTCTTAATTCAATTGATGTCAACAAGTTCCAGGAGCACCTTTATAACTTTGAGATCTCTTACCTGAGGGAAATGTCATTAATAGCATTTGAAAGCCCATTCTTTAATGTGCATTTGGTACTAATTATTACATTTTTAAACATATATTTCTCGTAGATATGATCTCTGGGAGTGATTCATGTGAATATCACGGGGAAACTTCTAATTTTCTGACCTTGAGAGCCGTGCATACATCTGACGATCTGGACGCTAAAGTGAATCTTCTCACCCTAGCACTCCAAGATCAAGTCCTTCGATGGTTCCCCACTCAGAGAATCCGCATCAGTTTGCGAGATAAACCATGGATGTCGGCAAAAGTTAAACAACTTATCCGCCTCCGTCAGCATGCCTTCCACTCCAAGCATTACCCAGAACATCGTCGATTGACCATCTTGGTAAAACAAAAGATCTCCTACGCAAAGCGCACATTTTATCAGACCAAGATCAGCCTGCTTCGGACGTATGACCCAAAGAAGTGGCACAACAGAGTTGAGTCCAATTGCGGAATACCCCGAACAGCCTCCACCTTTTCCCACATCACTGAAATTGCTGGACAAGACACGAAGGAGGCTGCGAAACTTATAAACTCATAATTGTCCCAGCCCTGCAGGGCACTACCTTCGCTAAACGCATCCCAACTTTCGGCCTTTCTCCCTTCCTTTCCCCCCATTTGATCTCTGTTCCTGAGGTGTACCATGAACTAAGGAAAACTAAGCAGTCCTCCGCCTCAGGCCCTGATAATATCCCAACCTGGATCTACATGGATTTCGCTGCTGAATTCGCAACACCCTTATGTGAAATTTTCAATGCTTCTCTCCAAGCGGGAACAGTACCCTCTTTATGGAAAGAGGCTATCGTTGCCCAGATCCCAAAAGAAATGCCCTCCCTCGTCCTTGAACGAAATTCGCCCCATTTCACTCACCTGTACCCCGTGCAAGATCCTGGAGAAAATTATCCTTCGACGGATGAGCGAAACGATCTCCTAGCTTCATGGATCTCAATACGGAAACCGTAGAGATATCTCGACTAAGGATTACCTAGTTGACCTCCTTCACCAAGTCCATACACACGTCGACGCTGGACTTGCAGCATATTGCGTACTTGTTGATTGCAGCAAAGCTTTTGACACGGTAAATCATACAATTCTCCTGAAGAAAATATCTCTGCTTGAGAGAGATGCTAGCATAATGACCTGACTAGCGTCATTCCTAAGTAAAAGATCCCAGCGTACACGCTACAACCGGATCCTCTCTGATTCCTTCCCGCTCACATGTGCCATCCCCCAAGGCACGGTGTTGGGCCCCTTACTGTTCTCCGTGATGGTCAATGACGACGTCCAAGTTGACGGCCAAGTTTTCACGTCGACGACAAAAGCATGATGGTGGCCCATCCTAAGAACTCCATTCCAGATCTCCAGCCTGCCCTCTTGCAACAAGAGGAATGTACGCATGCTAACAGTATGAAACTTAACCCTAACAAGTCCAAAGCGATACAGTCCTCCTTCACCAGGTCCCTCCCCATCCATCATACCCTCCATATTGCAGGCCATGTTTTGCCGAAAGAGACCTGCATTCGCCTTTTGGGTGTGTGGATCCAGGACGACCTCCACTGGAAGGCAAACACCAAGGCAATCGTAGCCAAGGCATCTATACGATTGTTCATGAGCAAGATCTTAAAATTCTTTGGAGCGCCCCGTGAATATTTACTTGCTGTTTGGTCCTCGTACATCATCCCAGTGCAAGAATACGCCTCCCCTGTCTGGAGCAGCTCACTGACCACCAATTTGGCAAATTCCATTGAGCTAGTCCAGAAGCGGGCTTTTCGGCTCATCCTTGGGAGTGAATTTACGTCATATAAGGAGGCTCTATCTACTCTTCAGTTGGCATCTCTGGTAGACAAGCGAAAGAAGCTCACGTTAAAATATGCCCAAGCCCTACTAGCCAACCCATCTCGTCGACATGTCTTGCCCCCCCCCCCCTCCGGCAGATGTCCTCCATGACCTTGCAACGTAACATTTCTCACCTCTTGCTGGAATTCAAGTGCAAAACCCAACGCTTCTACAAATCAACACCACCTTATATGACCGCCTCTTGAACGCATCATCCTCCTAACCCGACTTCTCCACTTCACTTCATCTTATATATCCTTGACTCAATGCTTTCGCAATTTCACCCCGAAAATTACGATGGATACCAATTTGCTGATGCACTAACAGTCATGATCTTCAATAAACCATTATTATTATTATTACTAACATTTCCCTCATGTAAGGGATCTCAAGGTTGCAAAGGTGTTCCTGGCATCAATTGACTGCCCCTCGTTTATGTAATATCCAACCGTACATGACTGCAAGAGATGCTCAATAATGTACGCCTATGTTGTTCACAGAAAGCTTGAGTGACGTCCTAATTGGGCTATAATTAAGCAATTCTTGCTTCGTTGAGAACATTTACCTTCTGGTTTAGTTTTTACGTGGATATTAGGCAAATTTTCTTCAAACTTGGCCAAAGGGAGGAAGGGCCCAATAAGCGTAATATAACTTTTGTAAGAGAAATATGGACGTAAAAAAGTCCAATGCGACAAGGAAACTCAAATGTGTCGCTGTGCTGTTTGGAAGCGTCAAAAGGAATATAAGGAATGTCAAATGTGTCGCTGTGCTGGATGCCAGACTTTATGGAAAAGCTGGTTCGACATGAGAAAGTCAAATGTGACAGTTGAGTGATATTGTGATGTAAACTGTGATACTCTCAAAATCAAACCGTTGATTTCATGGCAAATATACTTCTCTTCATAGTCCAGGATGCAATTTGAACTTCTCCTTTAAGTTTCCCGATGCCATGATTTCCTGATGGGATGAGGAACTCTTTGAATCCATATCATGAGTCTGACATTTGAATTGCATTAGAAGTTTGATTTCTTTCCATTAATCTTACCATTGGATTCTACCTATAGTTTTCACCCTAATGGATTGAAATCAAGCATTGTCTTCATGGTAAATGAGAGACTGCATGCACATGCACTTGCGAATTTGCATTTGAATGTTTTATCTACGAAAATGCCCGGAGAGGGCATCTCTCTTGGAGTACGACCAAGAGACAAGGCCTTAAGTCTCACAACTGTCGAATTTGATTTTTCTTATGTCGTTTTTGACGCACCCAAACAGCACAGCGACACATTTGACCTTCCTTAGTCACATTTAACTTCCGTTTGTTCATAATTTCTCTTAGAAAAGCTATATTGTCGGTTGTGCATATTAAATGTATGAGAAAAATTCTGCAAAATTCTCATTGTTGGTATGCATATGTTATTAAATATATTGCTGAAACTGTGAGTCTTAAGAAAAAGTTAACTCTACAAGAAATCAGATTTCTTATACGATATACAAGTCGAATGAAATGTTTTTGGCAGTTACAATGAGAAGAGAATAAGCTTTCGACTGTTCTAAATTGCGCGAAGATCAATGAACACAAAGGCGACACATGGAAAGACAAATTTTACATTAGCAAAACTCAAAAATACTGGTGAATAAGCAGCCTATGTAAGAGAATCAGGCAGTGCAGGCATTTGAAGAAGCTAGTGATACATGTGTACTACCATAAGACTATTCACCCTAATGCTAGTTCTTGGGTATTTTCCAGTACAAATGCTACGGGAATTATTAAATGAAAGAATCCTCTTGGTGACCCATCTCCCATCCTCACCTGGCACATCATTAGCATGCATTGAACATACCCATTAGTGATGGTTTGTAAATTTCCTTGAGTGTAATGTTCAATGTTGCATATTTCATAAATGTCTATATCTCAATGTCCCTGATGAATGTTGCATATAACAGTCGATTTTCATGTGGTGTTCAACAGAAGAAAGCTTCTCTTTATGACTGACACAAAAGTATATATATATATATATTTTTTTTTATTGGGTTGGAAAGAAAGTCTTGCAACACTGCGCAAGTTTTTCAAAATTTCATAACTTTATTGAAATGCAATTTCAGTCTACAATGTAATAACCATTCTTGTCTATGA